ATAGGTCATATATTATTTTTTTAGAATATTACACTATATAGTCATAATAAGGCAGAAATGATGTGAAATCATATATTTATATCCCATCCGGACTTTTAGGCATTATCACGAAATATTTGTTATTAAATATAAAAATTCATGTTTTGGAAATATGAAAATAGTTTTAAAATATTTGTTTTTGGACTACTTGATTGATTATATTTGGTATAATTAATAATAACTATCATATTTATGTAATATGTCACATAATTATCCTGTAACTATAAAAAAAATAAAAATAATAGTTCATTTTTAATGATTTTTAGTTACCAATATACAAATATAGCTGGTGTGAGCATTATGGAACTAATCACGTAAATTGTTCCTGGAAACGTGGCCAGAGTCGCTCTGTATATTGCAGAGTACAAAGGTTTGTATACAACAGGCACTATTGTTTCAATAACTGCCATTATCGCTGACACTTGACCTGAAAATTAGCGAGTTATTGAGATACCTTTATATTGTTAATAAAAAATRAAAAATATTTATGTACCAAGTTCAGCATGAGGTACAATCTTTGAGAGAATCGATCTCATTACGATATATGTAGTACCACTCATTACGTCAACCACGGCACCTGTAAACAAAATTTAACCTCGTTCGAAAAAAAAACCAAGATGTAATAACTATTTACACAAAAAAAAAATTTAGATACGTTACAAACGTTTCATACACGTTATCACCACACGACCTTCCGTGTACTTCAAATGGTACCCTTATTTGAAAACCACTGAATTGTTATACAAATTTGTGAGTGTATCAATACAAATTATRCAATAGTCGCCTAAGCATACTAGTATTTGGTAGATATCTAAAGCGACTAAAGCACAATGTCATACAGTGTAATACAGTACCTACCATTTTGGAAACTCGATTACTCCTTCAGCTATCGTTTGTGTACCAAAATAATATCGAACCATTGGAATTCATAACTATATAAAATATTGAAAAGTTTATTTGTTATACATCTCAATATATATCAATAGAATTTTTAATACCAGATCCATGTTGTTATAAACTATAAACTCGCATACCTAGTAAAATATATAGGTATATTTTATTTTATTTTATAAAATAATTATAGCAAAGCAATTACAATATAATGATGTATCAAAACAAAGAAAATATTTACAGACAATATTAATTAAATATTAGCATTAAATGAGAAAACCAGCGGTATGAATGAATTGGATAAGAGAACGGATGATAGGGATGAAACGGGAGTTGAGAAGAAGATTAGAATCGGGAGAAATATTGCCAAAAGAAGAAAGAAAAGAGAAAAGGAGTTGTTTACTAGTTATGAGAGAAGAGCAATTGAAAAGGATGTGATTAAAATCGCATATCGATTCGTCGTGATGTAGTGTACAGAGAGGGGAAGAGTTTATGTGTCTATGCCATGCAGCATAGTTAGGTGGTAGAGAGTCCAATTTAGTTTGCCAGGCATTGCGCAATAGTTTGCGGCGAATCGGAAGAAAGTCTGAAGCAGGTGTTTTAAAAGGAGAAAAATAGATGAGGGATTTTTTGAAAAAGCTAGGTGGTCGGTTCGCTCATTACCGGCTATACCCACATGACTAGGGATACAGAAAAACTTAACTGTTTTATCAGCAAGACTCAGACGATATACAAAAGATTTAATGATGAGAGCAAGAGGAGACAGGATAGATAAGAACGAATCAAAGAATATGGTAAGAAGACATGATTGCAAGTCGGATAAGATAAGAAAAGAACTGTATTCTAATGTGATATATTCGTTAAACAAAGAATCAATTAGAGTTTAAGGCAGACGTGGTAGTTCTTTTGGGGAATAGCCGAGGAAATTGGGTGAAACAGTTACTTCAGGAAAAAAACGAGAGTGCAGCGTAACGCCTATCATAAATTTGTAGCCGGATGCTGGGGCGATAAACAAGTGGTGAAAAAGGTAGTATATTTTATGAAATTAAAATTATTTGTTATGAATAATTAACTCACTCTTGTAAATCTAATATAATATACTATTTTTATTAACGGTGCAAACTATTTGCGCCCAAAATCATAACCCATTTAAGCCCGAAATATTTTTAGTAAAAATGTGTTAAACCTGTGCGACGTCGCCAAACTGTATTCTGGAATACAAGCAATACTACTTATTACCTTACAAAGTTAAAACTATTGTACATATTATTATTTTTCTCGTTTTAACTATTTTTAATTTTTACGTTACATTGTTATCGATATTATCGAATTTTTTATTATATTATGACGTGTGGAAAAAACAAAAGTATTAATTTTTATAATAATTGATGTACTTTAACAGTTTACCATATATTGTATTTTATATCATTTTATGTGAGATGAATTATGACTACAGTAAATCAAACTTGGTGTGAATTAATTAAGTGTTGTTTAATTTAGAATTCTTAAATGCGATGTTAGTTATTGTTATATTGACTATTTTTTTTAAACCCAAAATGTTGAAAAAATTATAAAATTAAAATTATATTATTAAAGACAATTATAATTATTAGAGTACTAATAATTGTCTAAATAATAGATTATAATAT